AAAATTATATCCCTCCCCTTCAAGTTTTTAATACTATAACAAATGACCCCTTTCATTAATAAATTATCAAGCCAATTAACAATTTCTAATGATGTCAGAAAAATATTTCAATTAATAATTCAAATATTTTTATTTTGTATAAAAAAGTAATTAGAAATTTTATTTTTTCTTTTAATTATGTTAAATAAAAAAAAATGATAATAAGAAAAAATCTATTTTAAGCAAATCTCATAGATGTGTTTATAATTTATCCTCAAAAATTTTAACCACGTGGCCGAAGAGATGCAAAGAACAATTTTACCTTCACGCTGGAATCAGGGGCAGACAATTCTTTACGCTATATTTGGTTGAGAGATTTAGGAAACGGATTTGAAAAGGGAAAGGAAAAATGTGTGTGAAATAAGGTGAAATATAGGTATATTTTATTAACATTTCACATTTATTTTCCTTTTTATTTTTCAAATTTCTTCTCAAATCTCCTAATCAAACACAGCGTTAGTAAACAATGAGAGCAAGTAACAAACTACCCCCCCAAGGCTTCCGTTTCTTCTTGTCTATTTTCATTTTCATTTTCATTTTTTATTTTGGAAATTGGAAGGCATTACTTGTTTGCGATATTGTTTTTATTTTTACATAAAAATAATGTTAATTCTAAAATTTTCAAAATTTTAAAAAACGTACACCCCAATAATAAACATCTACAAAAAAAACTTATATCATATACAAGTTTTGATATTTGGTGATGGGAAAAGTTAGGGATCATGAAAATTTTTTCATGAAAATGATCATGAAAAATTTATGATTCTTGGATTATCTTAGTTAATGTGTGGTGCTTTATTCTAAGTGTAATCCAAGGGTCACAAAGCTTTAATGATTATTTTCATAAAAAGTTTTTCATGATACCTAGCATTGTTGTTTTGTGAGTCATTTTATAGTGTTAATACCATAAAGTGTCGTAACAAAATTACTTTTAGTCATAACTATAGAAACCAAAATAAATCATAACCAAACGTCATTTAAGTTATAAGCAAAGACTTCTTTAGTCATAACTAAAATAAATCGTAACCAATACCATAATGAGTTACGGCCCATCAAGTCACCACCAATACCATAATAAGTTATAATCAAACATCACTACACTTGTACGTATATCTAAAGATTTCTTTGATCATAAGCAAATATAACAATTATAATAAGTCATGAATTCGTTAAGCCAATACTAGAATTAGTTATAATCGAATTCCACAAAGAAATATATGGTGTATATATATATATATATTTTAAAGTGTGTATTATAGAATTTGCAGATATACCTTCAAAGTAAAAAGTATCATAAAAAAATAAAATAAGAAAGTGTGTCGTTGCACCCGTGGAACGAGATAATAGTTCGTATTTCGGTCCATCTGGTGTTTGCTTCCGATGGAGTATGCGCGGAATATGCCGAACCTTTTGGTGATCCTTGCTCCCTTCTCCACATATGCATTCTATGAGCTCATTCGTAACACACATCAAGTGCAATTCTTGGAGATCTTCGAGATACTCGATGCCATGAGGCAGTATCTTCAACTGCATACATTCCCCAGTATAAAATTGTTGGAGACCTGGCATCACCCCCCTCTCTATAATAATCTCATTTAACTGAGGAAATTTCCACAAGTTCAATGTTCTAAGTTTACGGAACCCTTCACTAAAGCGTAATTGTCCTCCTTCATATGCATTACAAAGGAACAACCGTCCCAAATTCGGAAGTGCTTGAATGTATGGGATAGGGTCTTCTGTTAATCTGGGCCACTACAATGACAAAAAAGTAAGGTTTTGAAGTGAGTGAAACCAACAAGGCACTTTCTCTAATTTTCCAACTAAAATGAGCTTCTTGAGGTAGCGAGGAGGAGTTGAGGAGAGTGCATCCATTCGTAGGTATTCATCCTCATCAATCACCATCACAGACAACTAATGAAGGAGACTCATATTTTGAATTGCAGTACACAAGTCCTCCGCATCTACTTCTCTCACCTTTGTGATTCCAATCCTTTTAAGTTGTGTCATGTTCCTGATTCGCTTCATCAAGTCTGCTTGTGCTTCTACACCTGCCAAAACTTGCAGGTTTTTTAGCTTGCAAATATTAGATGGTGTTGTCGTACCACGACCAAAATGAAAGTCATCCAAACGTCTATAGTCAAAGTGGTACATCATTAGATGTCGCAAATTTTGCAACTCTGTGATTCCAGCTGGAAGCACTTCTATTTTGGAGTTAGTAATGTCTAGAGTGTTTAGGTTGCAGAGTCTTCCAATGGATTTTGGAAGTTCCTTCACCCTAGTTCCTTTCAAGTTCAAGTACCTTAAATTGAATAAATCCACTAGTTCTTCGGGCAATACTTCGATTGGTGCATCCTCAATATCCAATACTCTTAACAATTGTAAGCCTAGTGGCAATGTTATCTCCTCAACGACAAATACAAGAAGAGACCAAAGCTTCAACATGCCCTTCCAGTTCCACGATTGTAATTCTCTTCCAATTGGTTGAATCGACATGCGACGATTTGTTGCACTTTCTTCTTCATCATTTGCCTCTCACCTATGAAGCACGGATACTCCAAAATAGGCCACGTATGCGTATCGGATACGGATACGCGCCCGATACGTGAGGATACGTATCGGATACGGAAAATAGAGTATCCGATTTTTTTTTTTAATTTTTGAATTTCGGATACGTCTCGGATACGGGAGGATACGGTCAGGATACGGGCGTGATACGGTATGGATACGGCGGGGGCAAAAAAATAATTTAAAAAACTTAAAATGGGGCCAAAATGTAAAATATGAAAATTAAATCAAATAAAAAACAAAAACAAAAAAAATTATAATCTAACTTACCTCTAGGTCGAATTCGAACAGCACCCGCGAAGGAGAGGAGGAGTGCACCGATCTGCCTCTCAGTCGATCTCGAACAGCAGCTCGACGGTCGTCCCTCTCTGTCGATCAGGTTCATCGATCTCTCTCTCCCTTTCGCTCCCTCTGTTTGTTTGCTTGCATCGATCTCTGTCGATCTGTGTTTCGTCGATCTCTGTATACCATAATCTCGATCTGTTTCGTCCTCTCTCTCGATCGATCTGTTTTTTGGTCGATCTGTATCTCGTCGTCTCGTCTCTGTGTTTATCTGTGTTTACATATTTTTTTTATTTTTTTTTTTATATTTTTTTATGTGTAGTTAGTTACTCTGTAAATAAAATCAAATAAATGAAATAAATATATATCCCTCTAAAAAAAAATAAATGAAATAAATAAATAAATAAACTTATGAATTACTTATAAAACAAATAAATAAATGAAATAAAGTTATTAAAAATTATTCAAATTACTTATAAAACAAATAAATAAATAAACTTTAGGGTTAAAACAAATAAATAAATAAAGTTTTATTTTATGTATGTTCTATTAAGTTGTCTTTTGTTTTAAGTTTTATTTTTATGTATGCTACATTACTAAAAATGCTTGAAGTTTTATTTTATGTATGTTCTATTAAGTTGTCTTTTGTTTTAAGTTTTATTTTTATGTATGCTACATTACTAAAAATGCTTGAAGTTTTATTTTATGTATGTTCTATTAAGTTGTCTTTTGTTTTAAGTTTTATTTTTATGTATGCTACATTACTAAAAATGCTTGAAGTTTTATTTTATGTATGTTCTATTAAGTTGTCTTTTGTTTTAAGTTTTATTTTTATGTATGCTACATTACTAAAAATGCTTGAAGTTTTATTTTATGTATGTTCTATTAAGTTGTCTTTTGTTTTAAGTTTTATTTTTATGTATGCTACATTACTAAAAATGCTTGAAGTTTTATTTTATGTATGTTCTATTAAGTTGTCTTTTGTTTTAAGTTTTATTTTTATGTATGCTACATTACTAAAAATGCTTGAAGTTTTATTTTATGTATGTTCTATTAAGTTGTCTTTTGTTTTAAGTTTTATTTTTATGTATGCTACATTACTAAAAATGCTTGAAGTTTTATTTTATGTATGTTCTATTAAGTTGTCTTTTGTTTTAAGTTTTATTTTTATGTATGCTACATTACTAAAAATGCTTGAAGTTTTATTTTATGTATGTTCTATTAAGTTGTCTTTTGTTTTAAGTTTTATTTTTATGTATGCTACATTACTAAAAATGCTTGAAGTTTTATTTTATGTATGTTCTATTAAGTTGTCTTTTGTTTTAAGTTTTATTTTTATGTATGCTACATTACTAAAAATGCTTGAAGTTTTATTTTATGTATGTTCTATTAAGTTGTCTTTTGTTTTAAGTTTTATTTTTATGTATGCTACATTACTAAAAATGCTTGAAGTTTTATTTTATGTATGTTCTATTAAGTTGTCTTTTGTTTTAAGTTTTATTTTTATGTATGCTACATTACTAAAAATGCTTGAAGTTTTATTTTATGTATGTTCTATTAAGTTGTCTTTTGTTTTAAGTTTTATTTTTATGTATGCTACATTACTAAAAATGCTTGAAGTTTTATTTTATGTATGTTCTATTAAGTTGTCTTTTGTTTTAAGTTTTATTTTTATGTATGCTACATTACTAAAAATGCTTGAAGTTTTATTTTATGTATGTTCTATTAAGTTGTCTTTTGTTTTAAGTTTTATTTTTATGTATGCTACATTACTAAAAATGCTTGAAGTTTTATTTTATGTATGTTCTATTACTAAAAATTGTTGAAGTTTTATTTTATGTATGTTACAAGTTGTCTTTTGTTTTAAGTTTTATTTTTATGTATGCTACATTACTAAAAATGCTTGAAGTTTTATTTTATGTATGTTCTATTACTAAAAATTGTTGAAGTTTTATTTTTGTGTATTCTACATTACTAAAAATTGTGGAAAAAAATATTTTTTATGAACGTATCCCCGCCGTATCCGTATCCTACTTTTTCGAATTTTGCCGTATCGCCGTGTCCGTATCGTGTCGTATCCGTATCCCGTATCCGTATCCGTGCTTCCGAGCCTCTCACCCATCATATACAACACAAAACTTCTCTGTTGCAGATGCAGAAATTGCAAGCTCACGGATAAGATCATGCATCTTACATATTTTTGGCCTTCCTGATTCGTTTCTATTTATGACTTGAAGCATGCTACGGCAAATAAGCTCCATAAGGTAGCTTTCTGCTACCTCCTCTGGTGTTCTGCCCCTTACCTTTTCTACGAACCCTTCTGCCATCCAAAGTCTAATGAGCCTCTTTCGTCTGATCTCATAATCTTCCGGGAAAAGACAACAATATAAGAAGCAACACTTTAGTCGGTATGGCAAATCATTGTAGCTAAGCAACAGTATAGTTTTCACAACTTCTAACCCAGGGTTGTTGCTCAATTCCCAGCTCAAGCTGTTATAAATATTTCTCCATTCCGACTCCAGATATTTAGAAGACATGACACCCCCCAAAGCTACAATTGCAAGAGGAAGCCCTTTACATTTTGCAACAAGGTCTTGAGCTAAGGTTTTGAGATGTTGGGGACAACATCTATTTGGATTGCTTGAAAAAGCTTTCATACAAAAGAGGTTCCACGCATCACTTACACCCAACAATTTGGTGTAATGGACATGACTTTTTACCCCAAAAGAAAATGAAGCTATGTCTTCTTTTCGGGTTGTAAGTATGACACGACTTCCTAGTCCTTCATCAAGAAGTGATACATGTATATCCCTCCAGAGGTTACTACTCCATACATCATCAAAGACAATTACGTACCTTTTCAACCGTAAGAAGTTCGTAATCATCTCTATGAGCTCTCTATAGCTCATATTGCTTAAATCCATTGGAATTGCTTCCTGGGCACCACGGTAGAATTCCTTAATCATGCTTCTAAGTAAGTCGTCGGCTACATATGTTTGGGATACAGTTATCCATGCATAGCAATCGAATTGTCTCTTGACAATTCGACTGTTGTAGGCCTGGGCAACCAGAGTGGTCTTACCTGAACCACCCATCCCCACCACTGAAATGACCGTGCGTTGTGATTCTTCTTTGTCCACCAACAAGTCCAATAGTTGTTTCTTTCCATCTTCGATCCCCACTAGATCATCATCTTTAAAAAATAGAGAAGACTCGCTGAGGTTTGGCAGCCGCCTCTGATGGTCTTGGGAGCTTGAGCTTGCTTCTCCTACACGATCGACCCCATAACGTCGGTTTCTTTCTGGGATGGCTTTGATCATGCTGTTGATCTTCTGTAACTTGGTGGCTATTCGATGCCTCACCCATAGATTCTTTGGGGCGTAGACTATCTGACGGATGAACCTTGTGAATTTACCATATACTTTTTGCTTGTTCATGTAATACATGTATTCGTCTATGATATCTTCAACCTCGTAGGCCAAGTCTCTAACATTGGCCACCCAAGTCTTCTCTCCTTCAGTTTGGATTGTTGTTTTATCGGCATCCTCCAGAAAAGCTCTCATGCTTGTTAATTCATGGTTGAGTTGGATGAGTTCATCGCGTACTCCTCCAATCAACGATGCTTAGTTATCAAGGGCGGAAACTATCCTGCCGATCAAAAGTCCCACGGCAGCCAAGGCCATGTTAGCTTTCTACCTCCCTCCGCTCTTACTTCTTAGCACCCTGCTCTCTCGTCTTGAAGAGGAATAGTTTGTAATATGTACCTTGGTTCACTTTGTTTCTTATATTTTTTTTTGGCCTTGGTTCATTTGTCACAGCATTACATATGGGACCTACGCAACATTATATGGACCAAACCTGCCAAATATTGTTGACAATTGTTTATATATCACTTAGTTTTATATTATCAAATTACTTTATAGGGTAAGATATTATTTACTTTTTTTTTAATTACTTATTAATTATTTTAATACAAGAAAATCAATTATACATAAAAAGTGATATAAAACAGCAATAATAATAATAAATAAATAAAAGCTGAAATACACCATTTTTCTACATTATTTTGGTGTCATATATGCATATATATATATATATATATATATATATATGTGGAGAAATCATAAAAAATCATCACCTTTATTCTTTTCTTTTCTTTTTCTAGTTTTCTGTATACCTGGGCCACTTGTTCAAGTCTATGCCTCTGAAGCTTTTGCTTTAATGTGTGGAAGATATGTATAAAGTACCTGGGCCACTTGTTTGTTTGTTTTTTTTGAACATAGTCCTTCGACTTACACAACGTTATTTGGAAATATTCTACTAATACTGAAAAATTGTTAAAGAAAATTATCGTGATAGGTTAATTGTGGTTGAATTGAATTTAAACTATACATTGATATTTTTAAAAAAATTAAATGTATTATTAGAGCTGAAATATTTACAAGCCTAGCAACGGATCCACGTGACGCACATTGTATTTTTTTTAAAACTTTATTTCAGGTGATAAAAAGTTCAAAAAAAAAAAAAAAAAAGAGAATTAAAAAATTGCATATATAATTTTTATAGTAAAAATCATATTAAATGATGTGTGTGTGTGACATTGTTGCCAATCTAAGACACAACCATAGTTGTTTTGTCTTAAACTGAAAAGGATCACAAAAAATCACATTATTCTTTATTTTTTTTATCAACAAAATTTGACTTTTTCAAGACTCAAAATGAACTTTTAACATAGGCGTTTCATACATATATTTTTTTAAATAATTATGTGTCTAATTTTTTTTTGGTATTTGATAGTACTAGTAAAAAAAGTTACTTTTAATATATATTAAAATTTGAGCAAAATATACATTAAAGTTTATAATAAGGAAAATGACCAAAATAATTTAAATTGAAATATTAAACAAAAAAAGAAACAAAATGTAAAAAAATTACTTAAATATCATTCTCCTAGCATTTTTAACTATAAAATTACTAATCTAGTTTGCATAATTCAACTTATAAGTTAAATTATTTTTTATGATAAAATTACTAATTCATTTAATCTTTCATTTGACATATATAGTAGAGTAAATGTAAGATTCACCCTCGCCAATCTTTTATTTTCTATTGTCCAGATGCACCGTCGGGCATCACCCAAGCACCCATCATCTCTACAATCCAACATGATACCCGTCGCCACCCATCATGCCTCTTACTCCATCTCCCTTAGCTTCATTTCCCTTCCTTTGCTTCATTCATATTCTCTCTTCTCGGTCAGTCCCCGATTTGAAACAGAAACATTTTAATTTTGAGATCTCAACTTATATATACATAGATTTGATTATGAAACTAATATTGGGTATTTAATTGTAACATTCCAGACATCCAATAAAGACGTTGATTTTTGACTAATAGTTGATCGGAGTGCAAGACAAAAAGTGTGTAGGTGCGTATGTGCGACAATCGGTGAGCCAACTTTGCTCTATGGCATGTGTGTCTCGAGAGTATATAGAACTTTAAAATCAAGAAGAAAGGAAGAAGAAGGTAGGTGCTATGCTATGGTGAACCAAACGGACAGTTTAACCGTAAGCGACCCTAGTTAAGTTGCTTTAGGATATAAAATAATTGAATTAATTTTTTTTACAATTTTTTTTTATAAAAAGTTAAAAAGATACAATATGCTAAAATAGTTAATAAGATAAAATATCATATCGAATTTATAATTATTTCATTTTTTTCTCACAAATATCACATCTAATTGTAAAAAAATTTAATCTTCTTTCTAAATACAACTATTTTAACCTACTAAAATAATCAAAAATTAAAAAACTTACAAAAAAATCAACTTTTTAGATGAGGCCCATGTGTCAGTGGATCACTGGTCGTCTGTAAAAGACTACCTTCACGGTAGAAAAATACTTGGGACCCTCTTTTTTTTTAAGACTTCTACAATCTCTTTTGGATCTCAACTATTGATATATGTGTGAGACTCATTCATGTATGTGTGAAGCCCACACCATCAATGATTAAGATCCAAAAGAGATTGTAGGGGTATTCAAAAAAAGGAGTCTCAATCATTGTTGCTTCACGGTATGACCGTGTAAAATTTAATCCCCTATATATAATCCACATATTTGGATTATAATCATTTAATAATTTTAAATAATTGGCCACATTAATAAATTTTTTAATTTCTTTTGATAAATAACAACTATCTATTAGTTTTAAATAATTTATCATATCAATTATCTATTAATTTTAAATTATAACTGAATTTTAAGAACTTTTAAATTTTACTGAGATTTTTTTTCATAAATTAATATAATAATTAATAAAAATTTAGAGCCTTTTTTTTTGGTCAATTTTTCGAGGCCAAAGCGACGAGTTTGCTAACTTGTATCCAAAGTTGGGCCTTGAGCAAGGGGCTTTTTCTAAATTAAGTCAAATTAGCAACTTATTTTTTAAATTAGGCTTAGTTTGGACGAAATTTTTAAACTAGGCTAAAACGTGGTTGTGAACCTCACTTTCAACGTTTTTGTAGCTGTCGCGTGAAAATTTTGTGAAATCGTAAAAGCTTGTTTCCAAACTACACTTTTAATTAAGAAAGCGTGATTTGTAACCACGCTCTTAATTAAATTTTTTTTTTCTAAAAACGTTGTTAGGAACCACGCTTTTAAGTAATTTTTTTTTTTTTTTTTTTTTCTGAAAACGCGATTGTGAACCACACTTTTACTGTTGACCAAAGAAACTTTTAAGAAAAATGTGAAAACATGTTTTGAAAACACGTTTTCAACAAAAAAAAAAATTCAAACCCAGCACTCTCTTCTTTCTCACACTCATACACACACACTCTCTCTCTCTCACTGACACACTCACATCCATATATAATTTTTAATATATATAAATTTTATTTTATAAAATTGAGACCAATATTAAATATATATAATAATAATTTATAATAGCAAATAATAATCAACTATATAAAATGAT